ACGTGATTTCCATCACGTGCAGGTCACGAGTCTTGACTGTACATAAAGTTAACGATCTTTCTGAACCGGGAAAGTTGAAATAATCGCGACATAAATGTACCGTATGTAAATAATAAAAATCTATCTCAGCTGTCATATCCTACCTCGCTGTCATATAGTGGATCTTATCCTTAACTGACCACAGTGAATGTATTTTAATACAGACACATATGTTTATAAAATTGTTTATTCTATCCTCTTTTTTTATTATGTTATATTCTATAAACAGCAATTTTCATTCTTTCTTATAGCGCTCAGTCTAAAATAACATGGATTTCATTTTCCACTTTTTTATCATTACATTTTGTACATATTCTATCTTTTTCTTCCACTTTTGGCTTCCTTCTTCGTCCTAATATAATTTTCTAGATTGTGGTCACTTATTCTGAATTTTGTTAATATTCTTCTTATGCTAAAGTCCTTTATTTCCTCTAGGTATTTTTCAGTTTTAAATATTGTTTTGAATAAACTGTATGTTCGTAATTTATTTCCCTTGCTTTGATTGTTACTACAACTAACTATTTGACTTTTCCAGGTCTGTTTATATTCATTTGATAGTTTACTGATTGATGTTTTTTATCTCGTATCTATAGTTTTATTAAATTGGTTCTCCCCAAGATATGTTCAATCTTCTTTTTCCAGTTGTATTGTTTGTAATGTTTTCTTTTAAAGTTGCATTCCCATTTTGCAAAAAATGTTCAACGCTATATATGAATTCCTATAAGTGATATTTGAAGGAACTAAAGTTCACTTATAACGAGAAATTTGGCCAAAAATGCAAATAATCAAGCTTTCCAGGTCACTGCGGAACCGTTCTGATCTTTTTCGGCGACCACCATTCCACAATCGAATGTTAGAACACTATTACCAGTTCGACATTGTACGCTGTTTTCTACTCTAAATACTATTCACATAGCATATTTGACTTGCCAGACGGCATACAACATTTACCAAATATTTTGTGCAGTATTATTCACCTGATAGTGCACTTATTAAAGTGGTGAACGAACATTGTCTGAATATTTATTAGCGGCAGTAGGGGTTTTGAGATGAACTGCCTTCATCCTATTGGTCAGATTTTGATTGGAATGGACCGCGCGGAAAGCGCGTCGATGTTTGTTCGTTGGTCTTCGGCTAATAATTTAGGTGGCCCACCTAAAATAAAGTTTCGCAATTTAATGTGATCTTATTTTATTGACAGTATCATTTATCTTTTTAACACAAATCGCAAAATTTGAATTTTGGAATTAGTGGCTATACTATACATCTTCGTATGACAGAGATTCAGGACATATTATACAGTCTGAGTAGTATCATATCATGTCAGCTACAAGCGAGAAAACGAAATGGAAACGGTGACCACCACGGCCATGAAAGGTACAAAGCGTGAACTATCTCGACTACGGACTAGAAACAGGACACTACGAACAGAAACTTACTTGTGATATCGTTGAATCGCTTCACGGCAGACTTTGAGAACGACATTTGGTCAGTTTAATTGCACGACGCACCGATACAAGACGAATAACTTGAGAAAAACACAATCAAAACAATACGATGGATTCCAACGCTGCATACAACCGCCAGAATTTAAACGCATAATATAGTGTGACCAATCGGAGAATAAGAATTACATCACGTGATTCGGTGAACGGAGGGCGTCCTCGTCCAAACAAATGAGCATCGAGTTTTTTTGGGTACCAGTCCACTACGCCAACAATGTTTCGACATTTTTGGACTCCGACTGTATACTTGGCGTAAAGTTAACAATACTATATCGTGCAAATCGACTACAGTTAAAGTGTGCAATTAGCACAGTTTAAACATGTGTAATGTTATCGCTATTTCGCCGGGTATATATTAATTTCGTGTCGAATTGACATAGTAATGATACACGGTCAATGCCTCGACCTACGTGCACTGAAACCGAACGCCCGTTCTGATAGACATATAGGCAGGGGGTATGACTGCTTGTAATTACATTTCGCTACGTGCCATCTGTGTCCTTTTTCGATCAAATGTCATTGTTCCTTGACCTCGACTGAGATTTTTTTAGAATCTCCAGTATACATGTCATTGGGCGGTATTTATATGACACAACAAGTTCTTATGCAAATCATGTTACTTGTCAATCAGGGCCGTTTATGTGTTTCTTTTTAAAGTAGGGGTCTCATATCATGATATTTTTATTATATTGACGTATTAAAAGTTCAAACAAAAAATAATATTTAGGAGAGAGTTGTCAGAGTCACAGTGGTTATAACAAAGTTAGCGTACTTGAATGGTACGTAAAACCTGTGCCTTTATATTCTGCGTATGAGTCATTCGTATATATTGTGTTTTGAAGTGGGCAGGGCACTTTTACGCGGGACATACACGCTCCGTGTATTCTCCATTTTTTAGTCGTAGTACAGTCATTTGGCATTTATTTTACCATGGGAGTTGCTGTGACTCGACAGAAGCATCCAGATGTGATCGTGTACGTGAAAGCGGGGCACAGTGGGCAGCTCCCCGAAGCGACGTATACAGAAGCCAACGATATATACGTGGTGCTATACAACCAAAATGGCGTTCACTCTCATGAAGTGAAGCTAGCCTACCCGTACGTATTTCAACAACACAACGATCATCACAGCTTCACCATTACACACAAGTTCCTCATCGCTGGTCTTAGAAATTTCGGGCCCATCGAAAAGATAGAACTTTGGCGCAAACCAAGAAAGCGCAAAGGAAAGAAAGATGCTCCCGAAGGTTGGTATGTGGAACGAATCGCAGTCGAGAGCATATACGAAAAAGATTGCATCTCAATCTTCCCCGTTCATCGATGGGTGTACACCGATATCAAATACAATTTTCATCGTTACGGCGTTTCTTTGCCACAAAATGACAGCGACATGTATATTCGTGACAAAGAACTTGATTTGAAACGTAGCATGTACAGTTTGGACGTGAAAACAAAAGGATTGCCACCTCAGGTAAGGCTTAGCTTTGTCACTGTCTTCTTTAATTGTCACAATGGCTTGCATTATATTCAACAACGCACAGAATGCTAGCTCTATTCACTATATTGTCACGTTTCCTCCTGACTTATTTTCTAAAACACTATTATATACTATATAACGAAATAATATACACATCTAAATACTGATGATATAAAATATAGATTTCGTGTACGTTATCTCGCAGACCAGTTTGGCGTATATTTCC